TTGGGGCAGTAGGTGACATGTAGCCTTGGAATGTAGTTCTTCAGAATTTCTGTTCTTGTATTTTCATCATTACTATCTATTAGCATCTTAAAGTTGATGTAAACATTTTCTCTGGCTCCATTTTTTAAAAATAATTTTGTTGTATGGGTTTTCATATGCAAGTGATTTAGAGTTTAAAAGTTTGTAAAACAGCAATGGTCTTTGATCATATACAGCAGCACTGAAGTTACTAGCTAGGTGGGGTGTGTGCTTGTAATTCCAAAAGTTGAAGGACCGGGACAGAAAGAGCTGAGTGAGACCAGCCAGGGCTGCATGGTTAAACTGTGTTTCCAACCCCTATTCCTCCTCTGCTCTCCCCAAATACTTACTTTGGAATTTTTTTTCTTCCTAAAACAAGCATGTATTTGAATTTTTTTTGTTTTTGATTTTGTTTTTCGAGACAGTGTTTTTCTGTGAAACAGTACTGGATGTCCTAGATCTCAGTTTGCAGATCAGGCAGGCCTCAAATTCACTGAGATCCTCCTGCCTCTGCCTCCCAAGCGCTGGGATTAAAGGTGTGCACCACCACTGCCTGGCTACTAAGTGTGAATGTATGGATTCAGAATCAGATATCTTGGCATTCCACTGGAAGGCTCATAACTATTTGCTTTTGTATGAAAGTATTTGATTATATTGTTAATAAAACAATGTAAATTGCTTAAATATGCAATAGATCAAACTTAATACATTTATTAAGGTAGAATAAAAGGGGGTAATAAGTATTTTTACAAAAGTGGGTGTGGTGATTGATGCACACTAACCCCAACACTTGCCAGGTGAAAGCAGGAAGAGCAGAAGTGCAGTCATCGGGCTGCATAATGAGCTCTAGGCATCCTAGGCTATAAGAGGCTGTCTTGTCCTCCCCCCCCCCCCCCACGAAAAAGTAATTAGGGGCTGGAAGGGTGACTGAGTGGTCTTGAGCACTTAGCACTTGGAGCAGCTCTTGCATCCGTTTCCAGTACTCACATGACAGCTCACAACTGTCTTACTTCAGTTCCAGGGAATTCTGTGTCCTCTTCTCAGCTCTGAGAGCGCCAGGCACAAATATGATACAGTATGTAGGCAAAACTCATACACATAAAAGTAAAAGCAAAAGCTGGGTGTGGTGCTGTACACCTATAACCCCAACACTTGGAGAGGCTGAGGCAGAAGGATCACAAGCTAGCATTTGAGACACTAGCCAGCTTCCCTTTGTCAAGCAAAAACTAGTTGCAAAAAGGTTTTAATAGATGAATGTTACAGGACTTAAAACGGTAGGTCAGATAAGTAAGGTGCAGGGAGGGCTGTGTTAGAAGAATGACCAGGTTGGCTGGCCCCTCAGTATAGGAGTCACCTTGGCTCATGTGAAGACACTTCTTAAATTATCTCCTTGCCCTGGGATAGACAAGAAACTGGCCATAGGTTTTTATGTAGTTCCTACAGTTTATGTGGGTGTACAGCTTATGTTGGAAGGAAGGGTATTAATAGCTTGTCTTTTTTGGAGGATTCAACTCGTTTTCATTTCTATACCTCTTCCTAGCTCTACCTTTCCTATTACTGAAGGGGTGTAGGTCTTATTTCAGAGGGAAGGAACCTGTGTGTCCCAAGTCAACTGAGGGATAAAAGATCCTAAACTCATCTACAGATGGTGGTGGACACGTTGCTTATCATTCTAGAAAACGTGAAAGAGCTTTCTTGTCTCTGCCTTCATTAATAGACATGGGATATTTCCACTGCTCTACTCTGTTTTCCCTAAGCTGAGCTCTTGTACAAAGAAATATTGACTGCTTTTATAAGTTGCTTGCCATTAATGCCTGATGATATAAAGTAAGATAGGATTCTGCATACCATTAAATGTCTGCATACCATTAAATGTCAACTATTACAAACTTTAAGGTTTTTTTTTTTTTTTTTCAAAATTACCATACTAAACTCAGTTCACTTTTGCTAACTTCACAGTTGTTGATCACATAGCATGGTCATCCACTCACAGCTTAAAAAAATACAGGGAGCATCGGAGAGAATGGGTAAAGTAAAATTTTGATGTTTTTAAAATAGCACCTAAATTTATGAAAGTTGATTTGGTTTATTATTTGTAAGGGGGGGAGTGGGTGGGAGAAACTGAGGGGGAGGGGTGGGCTTTGGGAAAATAGCATGCACTGTGTACAAAGTCAGATACCACTTAGACCACAAATTTTTATGTGCTACTAATAAAGCTTATATCGTAATTTTGTATTGGGTATTACAGTGGGGTTCTTTTTTTTTTTTTTTTTTTTAATAGCAGATTGTAGGGACTTTTGAGAGCAGTGTTGAGTGCAATTTGGATGGGAACCCTGGTTTTAGAATAGACCTTTTCATCCTCCCAGTGAGACGGATGCCTCAGTACCACCTTAGGTTCATTTACTGGAGAGATACATTATGCATTCCAGTTTTTATTGTATACTTGTGGCCCAAATGTTCTTAAGTGTTACAACTGATGACACCCAAGAAAGTATTGAACAAAAGAAGGCATTGAAGTTGTCATTCTGAAGATAGTTGTTTGGTGGACATGATTAATAGACACTTTTTGTGCTTCTCTTCAAATGAAAAGTGTCTGGTTTGTGGCCACCCAAAATTGGAAATCAGTTTCCTCACTGGACCTGGTGGTATGGGCCTCTATGTAATCCCAGAACTTGGGAGGGAGAGGCAGGAGCATCAGAATTGTGGTAATTTTTATCTGTATAATGAGTTTAAGGACAACTCTTAACTACATGAGACCCAGCCTTTAAAAAAAAAAAAAAAAATCCAGTTCCTTATTCTAAAAATCTTGCATTGTGATTATACATAAAGTTTAATTAATTCTGTCATAGGGCAGAGAAACATGTTTTTATAGGTAGGATAATTTGTTTTTGTTGTTGACTAAACTTGGTCTAATCTATTGCCTCATTTAAGATTTTTTTTTTTTTCTTTTTTTGTTGATAGGGTTTCTCTGTATAGCCCTGGCCATATTGGAACTTGCTCTGTATACTAGGTTGGCCTTGCAGAGATTCGCCTGCCTTTGGAGGTCTCTTGAGTGCTAGATTAAAGGCATGTGCCACCACTGACCATCTCAAAAATTTCCTAAAAGTTCGTATATAAATATGGGTTGAAGAAAGCTCTTAACTAAATTTCACCATCCAAAAATTGTACCCTTGGCTCCATCCTCTATTCCCAGACATACTCAGCCATTTGTCAAAGCTGACTATAAGTTCACTTACTGTTCCCCAAACCTTCAAACCTTTTGTAAACTTTGTCAAAGATAATATTCTGGTCTGAAATGTTTGTCTTTTTCTAAGTCTTGACTGGAGTGTTCAGATTTTGGCTTCTACTTAGTCCATGAGGCCTTTCCCAACCTTTTGGTGATAGTTCTAGTATGTTAAAAAACATCCCTTTGACACTTGGGTCATGTTATTTTGTGTTACTATTCTTTATTTTTCCTATTTCTCTAGTGAAAATGGGCTCCTTGGGAGCAGAACATTTGTTTTGAGCTCTGTAACTCCATTTTGTAGCACAGAGGCAGGCATCACTAATAGGTTTGATTCTATGATTAGGATCTAGTATCACTGTGACAGGGCAGTTTCCCTCATAATTTAGTTTTTAAACGCATGTGAGAATTTATTAAGGGAATTAACTCTGATTTTTGTGTGTGTCTGATTCAGTTACTGGGTAACAAAAATATATAAAGCATGTCGAATTGATAAAACCCTCTATTATAAGGATATTTGTTCATATCTATCCCCTAATAATCTTTTCTCCTAATAGGGTTCTATTTTACCTGGTTTCTTTTGAAAAACATGGTTTGGGCCAGATGTGACAGAGAGAAAAATTAAAGCATTTCTGTTTTAAAATTATGAAGTTAAGTCATACTTATTATGTCTTAAGCCCAAATTTACTCAAATGCTGCATGATTTTGTAATACTGTAGCCAAATTACTTTAAAATATGAGCCATAAAATTCCCCTAAGTAGAACTTTTAAAATATTGATAGACATATCCTCACTTACACATCCTTCTCAGAGTATTGTTTCATCTGGATCCAGTTTTTATTATTTTAGTAAAAGGATTTTTATAATGGCTAATATTTGAAAGCTATGTTTGATATTTTTGCTGCAGTTATCAAATGTTTATGGAATACTTGCCTATTTGTAGTGAAGTATTTTAGATGCCTTTTTTGGCATTTATAGAAATTGATTGCTTCATTATTTTAAAGCTCACCAGGGCTACTGTTACTGTGTTTATATTTGTAATTATTCATGTTTTATCTGATAGTGTCTTCAGGGCATGTATCCCTTGTTAATACACTTAGTGTGATTTCTTAAGCAAAAAATGGGCATCCTATTAGAGGAGATGTTTGATTAATAAAACGTGTTTATTTTAACTTTATTCTGAGATCTCACTTAGACCCCATCTACCCGTGAGCCATGTTTTACAATAGACTGAACTGACACTGCTGTTTCATTACCAGAAAGTTTAGATAGTTGTAACAGGTAATTAATTGCTAGGTTTGTAAATACCCCTCATCCCCTAGAAATTGATCACTTTCTACATTAACACAATTATAGTAGAGTTTTAAGCAAAGTCTTTCTAAGATCAAAGAGCTTCTATGGCTTTAGCTTTCTGATGTGGGCTTATGGTAGCTTGGTTCTCATACGAGTTTGAGGCACGCACTAGTCTTCATTGAAACATACTTTTAAAGAAACATTTCTCACGTAGCCCAAGGGCCATTTGTAGAGTTCCAGTCTTGGGATTTAGTTATCTTCAGCCATATTTTTCTCTGGGCTTATACTTGTTAAGTCATATTGTAAAAACAAAACAAAAAAACGAACACTCTGATTTTGTTCACTTTTGTTTTCATATACAAGAATCTTTACAGTCAACATGTACTTGTAGGTGCTGTATTGAAATTGCTGGCAGAGTCTATTCTATACAAACTGAACAATCTGGCCCCTTGTTTTATTTGTAAAGGTTCAATGTATCTATGCCTGCCTACTTCAATCTGCAAGGGAGTTTCAGAAAGGCCCCGCATTCGCCGAGCCGTGAGTTATCACTAACTTTTCAGATGTGTTAATGAATGTGGAACAGAAGCAGTCGTGTTTAAAAGGAAATAAAAGACCATCAAAGTAACATAGTAGCAGGCTTGAACATTAAATGGATTATTCCAAATTATGTCACAAATAACCTACTAGAGATTAGCCTCAGAAAACCTATTGTTGAACTGCTCTGAAGCTATGATTTTTAGCAAATTATCTTTCTTAAAAATGTATGTGTCCTAGTTGCAAATCAGAATGTTCTTTACATCTTCTTAACCAAGTTAAAACAATTTGAACAAAATCTTACCCCATAGTGTTTAGTTGACTTTAAGTTAAGCTCTTCAATAGGGGTAAAGTTTGAATGGTTTTTTTCTTCGTTTGTTATTCACATGTGAAAATACAGAATTTAATTTAAGAATTGCTTCCTAGTTGAAATGTTTGGAGTGCTGTAGGTGTCATGTGAACTGCAGAGGTATTTACAATCTTTTGGTTTATTTCAACAGTTTTCGCTCCAGTAATTCACCAGTAGATTTTCATTTATTGGTGATAATCATTTTAAGGTTAAGCCACATTTTTTAGGGCTTATCATTCTGCATAGAGGAAACAACCCTGTGAGTTCTTCTTTTATTTCTTCAGAGATTCAAAGCCCCCCCCCCCCAAAAAAAAATTGCAACTAACATTTGTATTTTGTTACTGTAGCTAGTTATCTTTCCTTAGACTCTTTAAGCTTTTGAGTAAATAGCTATATTTGATAAGCAGGTTGGTTGCTTCTGTTTAGGAGTTGTGTTTTTTATACGAGTACAGAATGTATTTTATTTTGCCTTGTTTGGCAACATAGCACAGAACACATAAAAGTTGGAAGTATGGAATCTTTGGAGGTATTAAAGTTAACATTTTATTTAGGCAATGTGCCTTTGTCTGACTGGTGTGTAAGTCCTTCTTCCAGGTTTGTACGCTCTTAAGCATCTTATTCTACCCTCTAAACTCCTCCCAGCAGCAAAAGGGAGACACTTCATCTGGAACAAAATAGTGGAAGAAATGGCGTCTGGGGTTCAGTGGGGACTCGCAGTGTGTATGCAATGTTTGCAAGATTACTTTTTTATGTTTTCAATTAATGTAAATAATTATGAAATGAATTAGTGCTTACTGTCAAGAGACCATTGTACACCATTAGAAACTTGGTGGGTCCTGCTGCAAGTTGCTTAACCTCTTTGGGGGCCTCATTTTCCTCATCTGCAATGTGAAGGAGTTGGACTTGATAACCCATAAAGTCCATTCCTGCTCTAAAATCCTTTGCTTTTCTGAAGTACTTTTATTTATTTAACAGAATGCTTTGCTTTCCCACTTTGACTATTTATTTGAATTACATTTGCAGTACATAAACTGCAACTGCATGTTGTCTAAAATAGTTTTTCTATAGGATGATATATAAAAAACTAATCCCTCCTGGGTTGATTTATAAGTGTCTGTAAGATGTCAAACACCAGAAGCTAGTGATAACTAGGACTTTCAAAATGTAAACACTGTCTAGTTGTCTAACCTTGAATATTGTTAACTTTTCTATATTACAGGAGATACTACTCGACAACGAATCAAATTCAGCGATGACAGAGTATGCAAGAGCCACCTTCTCAACTGTTGTCCCCATGATGTCCTTTCTGGAACTGTACGTGGTTATTAAGTTGTTTTATTACTAGTGTGCTACAAAAATGAAATTCTTGGTAAAGTCTTGTTATTGTTAACAGCATTAGCAAAGACTTGTATCCCTTTCATTGCTTGTTCATTCCCACTGATAATTTAAAAAATTTTTGTTTTTTGTTTTGTTTTGTTTTTGAGACAGGGTTTCTTTGTGAAGCTTTGGAGGCTGTCCTGGCACTCAGTCTGTAGGCACTCAGTCTGTAGACCAGACTGGTCTCGAACTTACAGAGATCTGCCTGCTTCTGCCTCCGAAGTGTTGGGATTAAAGGCGTGTGCCACCAACGTCCAGTGATGATTTAAATTTTCAATACTGGATTTCCTTTCAGAAGTAGTTGTCTTGTTTTCATATTTTTTCACCATTCTTCTGTGGGTTTTGTTATGCTGCTTTTTTCTCTTCTAGTCCTGGAGATGAACATAGAACCTTGTACATACTAAGCACATACTTAAGCACTGAGGCAGATCCCAGGATCTCTACTTTGTGTATGTGGGTGGTGGTGGAGGTAGTTGATTTTTGAGTTTGTTTTTTTTTTTTGTTTGTTTGCTTGGGAGACAGGGTTTCTCCATATATTCCTGGCTGTCCTAGAACTCTCTGTAGACCAGGCTGCCCTCCTGGGGGCTGGGATTAAAGGTGTGGCACCACTGCTTGGCTGATTTTGTTTTTGAGGAAGTGTTTGATGTTCTAGTTTGGTAACCCTGAACTCAAGATCCTTTTGGCTTGTACCTTCCCAAGTTCTGGGATCATGGATACGATTCAGGAAGCTGGACCAAGAGTGCTGTTTGTTTGTTTTTGTTCTTTTCTTCCCCCTTTATTCTTTATCCAAAAGATGTATATTGGGATAGTACCCCACAGATTTGGGATTCAGGGTGCTTTTACTGCCACTTCCTCTTAAAGGGACATTTTCCTATAAGCTGGGAGTGAGGACAGCGCAGCAGCCAACACACAAAACACACAAAACGGTTGTTTGTGCATGCCTGAAGGCCAGGGTGATTTCACAGCATCCTGGGTAATTCACACCCATTAAGTAGTAATTGGGGCTCTCACCAGGTGCCTTTTCTTATTTCCTCCTGAAGAGGGATGAAGGAAATCTTTTACAAGAGGCATGCTCTCACTGGGAGGTGGTCATCAGTGAGGTGGTTACTGGTCCTTGGAAAGCCCTCTCAGTCCCTGGCCTCTAAATGACACAGAACATTTGATCTAATTGAAACTATGAGTAATTTCCCTTCACAGATGCATTTGTTGATGGGGGAACTCTTAGGGGCTAAATCTTGACTTCATTTTATCTCTCATTTGCCAGAAATATCTAGATGAAAAAGGGTTTTCAGATTACTTTTTTATAAGCAGTGAGTGCTTTTAGCCGTACATACCCAAACAAAAGTATCAAGACATATGGAATAGGAAACATCTTTGTCATTTCCTAGTGAGAAATGCAGTTGAAACTATATTAAGTGCATAAGCCTAGTGTGGTGACAAAATGTGGAATTCCGTACACTGCCAGTACATCTGCTTGAAGACAGACTCTGAAGTTTGAAGCCAGCTTGACCTACTTATTGAGACCTTGTCTTAAATAAAAGAGCTTGAAAATTTTTCTATGTATAATAAAACATAGTAAGAAACTTAGTTTGTGGGCAAGTCCAACATTTGAATTAGGAATGTGACAACTATTAATAGGTAATAAACTAGTTCTTTAGTGTTTCTGTAAATACTTCCATTTTAAATTTTATTTTGTTTATGATCCTGATTGCAGGGATTATAGGCATGTACTACTGCATATCTTAAAACATTTTCTCCTGGATTAATCCATTTGTAATGTATAATAAATCTCTCTTCTGTAGAATACTGTTATTTTCCACATTTCACTCATCTACTTATGTGTAGGAGTGTTTTGCCTGCATTGTATCTGTTAACTCTGTGTGTGCCTGGTACATGGGAAGCCAGAAGAGGGTATTGGATACTCTGGGATTGGAGTTCTAAATGTTTGTGAACGGTCATGTAGGTTCTGGAAGTCAAAACCCTGGTTCTATGGAAGAGCAACCAGAGGTTTCCCGCATTTAGTGTTGTAGGAAATGAGATGATTAGATTTTTTGTTTTGTAATTTTATTTTTGTGAGTGCATGCATATGTTTTGGGGTGTGTTTGTACACGTGCCTGCTCGAGTGTGCAAGACAAAGAGAACATTGGGTGTCCTCCTCAGAAACACCCCTCACCCTCTCTGTGATAGAACCCTGGCCTGGAGCTTACTGATAAGGCTAAATTTACTGGCTAGTGAGTTCCAAGAATCCTTGTACTTTCATGTCCTCAGCACTGAGATTACACCATGTCTCTCATTTTACATGGGTGCTGGGCTAGTTTTATGTCAGTTTGACACAGCTTGAGGTCATTGGAAGAGGAGAAAGTCTCACTTGAGGAAAGGCCTCTATAAACAAGATAGGACTCTAGGCAAGTGTAGGGCACTGATTGATTGTGGATTGTGCCATCCCTGGGCTGGTGGTCCTGGATTCTATGTAAAAGCAGGCTGAGCAAGTCATGAGGAGCAAGCCAGTAAAATAGCACTTCTCTATGACCTCTGTGACAGTTCCTGCGTCCAGGATCCTGCCCTTGAGTTCCTGCCTCGTTGTTGTTGAGGGTGAACTCTTAAATGGGAATGTGATTGAAGTGAATCCTGTCCTCCAAGTTGTTTTGGGCCATGGCTCTTCATCACAGCAATAGTAACCCTTAGATAATGGGGCTCATGCTTAGGTTCTTGTGCTTATAAAAGAAGCACTTTACCAACTGAAATTGCAGTCACCAAAATGGCTTTATTTAATGGATAAATTATGACTTCATAAATATACAAAACAAGAGCACCAGATTCATTGTTACTTCTTCCCTCCTTCCTTTTTTGAAATGGGAGATCATGTAACATTGCCTACTTTGAACTGGTTCTATAGCCATGGATGACCTTGAACTTCAGATCTTCCTGCCTTCACCCACCAAGTGCTGGGGTTACAGATTGTATCCTACCACACCTCCCTTTAAATTTTTATGTATATTAGATATATTTTATGTGTGAGTGCTTTGCCTGCATGCATGTACATTTGTGCACCTTGTGTGAGTCTGGTGCCAGTGGAAGTCAGGAAAAGGAACTGGAGTTTCAGGTAGTTGTAGGCCACCATACCTAATGTGGGTGTGCTCTTAACCACTGAACCATCTATCCAGCCACACACACCCTTTTAAACATTCTTGAATGTCCTAAGCCTGAAAAAATTTAAATTCATCGTTGTGTGTGTTTGCTTGATATATGTGTTTATGTCACTGCAGATGTATAGAGATCAGAGAACAATTTGCAGGAGTCAGTTTTTTCTTCTACCACATCTATTACAGTTAGGAGCTGCCTTCCATTGTGGGTGCTAGGAATCTAACTTGGGTACTCTGGAAGAGCAACCAGTGTTCTTAATCACTTGGCTATCTCTCCAGGTTTTATTGCCCTACAAAACAGGTTTTGGTTTTTCAAGACAAGGTTTCTTGCCTTGGCAGTCCTCAAACTGGCTCTGTAGACTAGGTTGGTCTTGAACTCACAGAGAATTAAGGTGAAAATATTTTAAGTAGTAGTGATATTGAATGTCATATTAGGCTTTCTCTCCTCCCCCACCCCCCACCCCTTGGGTTTTTGAGACTTTTTTTCTGTGTGGCTTTGGAACCTGTCCTGGAACATGCTCTGTGGACCAGGCAGGCTGGCCTCAAACTCACAGAGATCCGCCTGCCTCTGCCTCCCTAGTGCTGGGATTAAAGGCGTGCAGCACCACTTCTGGCCTGGCTTGGTTGCTGGGAATGAAACTCAGGTCCTCTGGAAGAGCAGCCAGTGCTCTTAACCTCTGAGCCATCTCTCCAGCCCTTAAAGTTTGAGTTTTGAAGCAAGCATTGAATTTGGATGGCAAGTCATTTTTCCAAATATAACAAAGGAAGGGACTGAAGGTTCAAAAGTCAAGGGGCAAGATGCTTGTGGTCCCTGCCTTAGGAAATAGTGTTGGGTAACAGAGTGGTGGGTGGAGCTATGCTTGCTTACCCTACAGAATGTTTTCTGTGTTTTGTCCGCTTTACACTGTCTTGCCACTGTTACTTACTTTTAGATTGTTATGTTCGTACTTTACTTAAACTATTATTACTCACATTTTAGTGTCTTTTATTCTTCCTTTTGAGACTTAGAATAGTATAAAAAATAAACACAAGTAGAATTATTTTAAATTAATAAACATTATAAAGATTATCTAGGCAGTGGTGGCCCATGGCTTTAATTCCAGCACTTGGGTAGCGAGATAGAAGGATCTCCGTGAATTTGAGGCCAGCATGGTCTACAGAGCAAGTTCCAGGATAGCCAGTGCTGGCTACAAAGAGAAACCCTGTCGACACCCACCCCCAAAAAAACAAAGAAGCAGCAACAACACAACTAAGATATAGGTGTGTGCTCCCGTGTGCTTTCTCTTTTCTCTAGCACTCTGGGTGCCACGTCTATAATTTAGCTGTTTCTTTTTTAAACTTAATTTTGTTGTTATTTAGATTTTTTTTATTGTGTGTGAGAGGATTTTTTTGCATGACATACATGCCTGATGCTCAGTAAGCTGAGTTTCTATGTGGGCTCTCTCTTTCTCATTTATTGTTTCATTTGTTTTTACTTTTGGTATTTGGCATGTCAGTAAAATCCTTACATGTTTGAGTATATCTGTAGTTATAATTGTTTCTGTGCCTTGTTTGTAGCAGTGGTATATATATTCATTAGCATTACACTACTCTGAGTTTGAGGTCAGCCAGGGCTGCACAGAGAATCCTTATCTCTAAAAAACTAAAAAATAAACAAGAAAAATCACACCAAAGAGTTCAAATAATCTCATAACGATGTCCCTAACACCCCACCCCACCCCTTCTTTACTGACCAGTCTTCACTCAGCCATTGCCTGCCTTAAAGTGGTACAGCCAGGCTGGGCCATTATATCACGAGTTGAGTAATGTGTCTATATCATATTCATAAAGAAAATATTATATTAATATGTCTTTTTGCAACCTCTCTTTTCCCATTTGTCAAGGATGTGTGAAATTTGTGTTGGGTGTGTACTTTTCCTGAAGCATTTGTTAATGGAGTATTTTGTTTTGATCTTCCCCCCCCCCAACCCGCCCCCAATAACTCTAGAGCCAGGCTGGCCTTAGAAGTAGGAGATCCACTTGCCTCTGCCTTCCAAATGCTTCAATTAAATGTGTGTGCCACCACACCGAGCAAGAGTGTAAGAGATAGTATCAACTTGTAGCCTGGGTTGACTTGACCTCTTTTATCTTCCTGTCTGATTCTCCTTAATACTGACTTTACAGGCTTTGGATCACTAGGCTTTGATTTCTTTTTTAATTTACTATTTCTAAGTTTTATGTATTTGGGTGTTTTGCCTACATACTTTCATGTATACGTGCATGATGAATGCTCTTGGAACCTAGAAGAGGGCATTGGGATACCCTGGAACTGGAGTTACATGCAGACTGCTGATAACCACCTTTTGTTTGGGTCCTGGGAATTGAACCTGGGTCCTAGAAGAACTGTCAGTTCTCTTAACCCCTGAGCTACCTCTCAAGCCCCAGATTATGGTTTTTAATGCTTATACAGACTGTTGATCTTCTATAGAGAGACACTTAAAATTTTGTTTTTCAAGGCAGGGTTTCTTTGCTTAGACCTGGTTGTCCTGGAACTTATGCTGTAAACCAGGCTGGTCTTGAATTCAGAGAGCCATGTTTGTCTCTGCCTCCCGAGTGCTGGGATTAAAGGAATACTACCATTTCTTTTCTTTTCTTTGGTCTTTCGAGACAGGGTTTCTCTGTGGTTTTAGAGTCTGTCCTGGAACTAGCTCTTGGAGACCAGGCTGGTCTCCATCTCACAGACATCTACGTGCCTCTGCCTCCAGAGTGCTGGGACTAAAGGCGTGCACCACCACCGCCCAGCTAAATAAAAATTTCTATTTTCTAAGCCAGAAAATGCTATTAAAGCTTACGTACATGTACTTTTTATGCATGTTTTATTCCTTAAGTTCTTGGAATTGCTTATTCAAACCAAGTTTATTAAGTAGTCATGGTTTGGGCAATATGAGTAGTGCAAAACATGGTCTCTAGAGAGTAAAATAGAAATGCATCATTTTTCTTAGGAAGCTTATAGTCTCTTTGGAATTATAACATTGATTCTCAGAAATTAAAAAATTAAAATAACAGAAGCTATTTTGCTAAACAGAAAAAAAACTGTATAATATTGTAGAATTTTAAAAAGAGTTATTAGGATCAGAGATTTGGTCAGGCTTCTTGGAGAAGTGAGTTTGAAATGAGAAAATGTAGCGCTCAGTTCACAGAGATCCACCTGGTTGGGATGAAAGGCTTGTGCCACCACCACCTGTAACGAGTACGGTTTTTCTGCCCGCTGCCACTAGTCTTGTCCCGCCGCCATGCCGCCAGCCCCAAATAATACACAGAGACTTTGTATTTGGTATTATACTGTTGGCCAGGTACTAGTTTCTTATTGGCTAGCTTTGTCTTAAGTATTAACCCATTTCTGCTGATCTATGTATTTCTCTTACCAGGGAGCCGGCGGCATACTGCCGGCGGCAGGCGGAAAAACTACTCGTTACAAACACCCCTCCAGCTCTGTGTTTTGTGTTGCTGTTAGTCATTAAAGTTATTCTTGGAGTATAAAAAAGTGTAGAGTTCAATTCTTGCCACTTACAACTTGAATGTCTATTAATTACAATATGTGGAATAAATACGAGGGACATTTAAGGAAGAAGTAAATTTGTTAATTTTTAAAAGAAATTCTTCCTTATAATAGCCTTTTGAAATCAGCAAACCAACACTTTATTTATTTTTTCATTACTTATAAAGAGCAATACCACCAGCAGCACTCAGTGTTGGATCACTTGCTGTTTGTTGGAAGCGTTGGTGCTTTGTTACTGTGTGGTGTCAGGATGGGTTTTACCAGGAGCTCTGGAGAATTGACTCATATTCCTTGTGTTTCTACCGTGCTTTTTCCTCTTCTTACTAGTTATGAGACTAGGTTCATGGAAATTGTTAGCCATGTTTTGATTTCCCTTGGATTGATGTTTACAATGGCAGGTAGTTGTTGGTATTTCTTTTTGGGCTTGTTTGCTTTTTTTCATGCCATGCCTGATACCATATTAAAGCAGGTATTTAGTCATGGTGATGGAGAAAGAAAACAGATGGCTGGTTTCTAGAATTCAGACTATAAAACCTTTGTGTTGCTAAGTCACTGGAGAGATGAGGTTGACACTGAAGGAAGATACTGGGGTGGAGGTATACCTCGTAATTTAAAATAACATAAATAAAGTGGAAATCTCTTAAGACTAGTTTAGCTGCCTTGGGTTTTTGTTGTTTGTTTTAGACTGAGAACTAAACTCAGGACAGTGCATCTGTTAAGTGCTCTATCAGTGAGCTCAATTCCCAGTTCCAGAAGGCAGACATTAAAAACAAACCATGGTCTGGCAAAGGTGGCTATGAGTAAAAAAGTACTTGCTATGCAAGCTTGGTAGCCAGACTTCCACCCTCAGGAGGGAGGAAACATTCCACATGGTTGTTCTTTGACCTCCATGGGTATCCTGTGACACCCCCTACCACACACATGCTTGCCATATAGCTTTATAAGCATATTCCTGGAACACTCTCTATAGACCAGGGTGGCCTCAAATTCACAGAGATCCACCTGACTCTGTCACCTGAGTGCTGGGATTAAAGGCGTGCACCACCACCACCCAGCACAAAGAAATAAATTTTTAAAAATTTACTTTAGAGCAAATCCTGACCTAAGAAGTAAGCACATTTTGAGAGATGAGTTTTGAGAGCATGAGAAGGCAGGCAGAAAAGAAAAATCAAGAAGTTAATTATCAGTCAAATAAAGAACTCATTAAAAACCAAAAATAGATTTGTTAAGAGATTCTAGAGCACCTGGCATTGGTGGCACACTCCTTTAATCTCAGTACTGGGAGGCAGAGGCAGGCGGGTCTCTGTGAGTTAGAGGTCAGCCTGGTCTACAGAGGGAGTTCATGACAGGCTCCAAAATTACAGTTTTACAATTAGTTGTAGATCACATAGATTTGCTATAATGCCATATATATATATATATATATATATGGTGGTGGGGATCAGACACTGACTGATTCACTGGCTTCAAACTTGAATCTATCTCAGCATTTCAAGAAATGCTATAATTGCAGGAATGTTCCACTCTGAGATTGTAATACTACTACGATTCTGTCACCTCATTCCCTGTCTCTTTCCTCCTCCCTCACCCAATTTTTCCTGTCTGTCTTATCTACCAACCAACCAACCATCTATATATCTATCATCTATGTATGTATCTATCATCTATAGTCACCTTGTCATCTATCATCTATGTATATCATGTATTTATCACCTATCGATTATTTATCATCTAATCAGTTGGTGGCGAGATCCTCCAGCCTGAGTCTTTTACTTTTTATTTTTATTGTATATATATTGGTGTTTTGCCATGTGTGTTGGGTCCCCTGGAACTAAAATTACAGACATTTATGAGTTGCCATGTGGGTGCTGGGAATTGAGCCCAGGTCCTCTGGAAGAGCAGCCAGTGCTCTGAACCACTGAGCCATCTCTCCAGCCCCCGAGTCTTTAATTTTTAAAATTGACAACACTGTGTAGCCCACAAGGAGAAAGTCTAATGTATTTTGTGTGTGTTTGTCTGCAATGGTTTGTGCCCAAGAAGCCAGAAGAGGGCATCAAAACCCTTGGGATTGGAGTTGCAGGTGATTGTTAGCTGCCATGTAGACCCTGGGGAATGGAACCCAAGTCCTGAGGAAGAGCAGCCAGTGTTCTTAACCCCCCCTGTGTCATCTCTAGAATTACAGATACTTTGCTTTCCACTCTTTAGGTCCAGTTTAAATGCATTCTCATGAGAAACTCTTTTTGAGGCTGGGGGCTGACTGACAGATGGCTCAGTGTCAATCTGGTTTCAGTCCCCATGATTGGTGGAAGGAGGGACTAATTCCCATGTGTTATTCTCTACCCTCTACATGTGCATCATGGCAAGTGTTTTTATTTTGGCCACCTCATTCCACAAAACATTTCATGTAGAACATTGGTAGTATTAATAATTTGTTAAGACTCATAACTGTTTTTCATACGTATTTCCTTGCCTCCCAGCTAAGGGATTGAACCTGGGACTTTTAGCATACCAGATAATACTCCCAGCTCTAATTGTCTGGTTTATCTCTATGACTTAAGATACACTCTGAAGAAAACTGTGAGTTTGATGAGTTTTATAATAAATGTTTTCAGCATAATGTCTTTCTTTCTTTCCTAGAGAATGGATCTTGGAGAATGCCTGAAAGTCCATGACCTGGCTTTAAGAGCAGACTATGAAATTGCATCCAAAGAACAGGACTTTTTCTTTGAACTTGATGTATGTGACTTTCCTTTTATTTTACATTTGTCTCTTACAGTAAAAATAGTTTGTATATTGGTTAATGCATGGGGAAGATAGTATACACCCCCCCCCCCCCCCCCCCAGTGTGTAGTACTAAGTATTATGAAAGCCAAGACCTTATGCATAGACAGCCTCCAACTTAGCCCTGACTCCCAATTTTCTTTATATAAGTGATTGGATATTTATGAAAATGTATAAAAGATTTGTTTTTGCTGTTTTGTTAAATTGAAAAAAGGTTTTTTTTTTTTTTTTTTTTTTTTTTTTTTGAGACAGGGTCTCTCTGTTCCTTAGCTCTGACTGTTCTGGAACTCCAGACTGGTCTCAGATTTAGATCTAACTGCCTCTGCCTCCCAAGTGCTGGAATTATAAACACTATGCCTAGGTTAAAAAAAGGTTCTGTTTAAAAAAAGTCAAGCTTATTTTTCCCACCAGAAGTAAAAATGAAAGTAGCCGTTTCAACAAATGTACACCACCAGTTTTTCTTTCATTTAAAGCTTTTATTAAAGACACAATCCACTGAATTTTCCCATTAATACTTTTACTGTATTGGTAATCACTAGCCAGACCTCTCCAGTTCTGGGATGAAATACACCATATATCTTGGGACCATGTTTTTTAAATAATAAAAGAAAAGAAATAGAAGATACTGTTTAGGTGTCAGAGTTACAAATGTGATTTAATACTGTCCTTATATAGAAGAATTTCTTGTATGAAAATAGAGACACGTGAGGCGGAAGAAAGATGGCTCAGTGGTTAAGGGTACTTGTTTTTTCAGGGAACCACAGTTCAACTCCCATCACTCACATTTTGGCCCAACAAACATGATTCCAATTCTAAGAGATCTGGGTCCCTCTTGATGATGCTTGCAGGCCCCATGCATACACATGGTGCTCACAGTTACATGTAGGCAGAGGTTCATGTGAAATAAATAGGGCCGGTCAGTGGTGGCGCACGCCTTTAATCCCAGCACTCAGGGAGGCAGAGGCTGGTGGATCTGTGTGAGTTCAAGGCCAGCCTGGTCTACCAAGTGAGTTTCAGGACAGGCTACAAAGCCACACAGAGAAATCCTGTCTTGAAAAACAAAATAAATAAAAAATAAAAATAAAGAAAGTATACAAAATGTTTTAAAGAATATACCACCTGTCAAACCTTTTGCACTTTTATGAAATATACATAAGACATAATAATCAATAAAAGTCTTATGGTGGTTTTTATCATTGAAATTAGGAAATTTTACTTAGTTGAATATAGCAATAAATAGCTCCTGACTTCTGAATGTCTAAAAACTTTTGTTTATGTAAATAAAATTGTCTAAAATGTACAAAAGTACATTTGATACTGGTTGGGCATAAGATAAAAGTGAATGTTACCATTGAACATTGTGGTTGGGATTGAGGTTATTTTTGGTCTTTCTGCTCTGTGGTGTAAAGTAGCTGAGCCAAAAGGAATTCAATAGCTAATGCTTAAATGCTCTTCATAAAAGTATTGGCTTATATTTTTAATTAATACTTTGAGCTCTCCCCTTGTGGGCTACATAGTGTTGTTAAGATGTTTTAGTTACTGTTGATAAATAAAATGATGAGTGTGAGTAGAGTGTGAATTTGCTTTTTTTGCGAGTGAATGTTGTGATTGTATTTAAGGTCATGTGTATTGGCAGCTGTTTTCTGAGTTGGCTAAACTTGAGTGTTGTTGGTTTTCTTGGTGACTCATTAACTTTATGCAGATTATGAAAATTGGTCCTTTCACTCATGTATGCTCTAAAAATCCTATTTTATTTTTCTTTGGATGACTTTTATCTTTAAATAGTATTTTTAGTTATACTGTCTAATTAGTGCTTTTAATACCTATTTTGTCAGCTTGAAAGATCTTTTCTGTTTTGACCAGAAAATAGTTCTCACCTGTGGTTTCTTCTATATATTTTTAATTTTATATTCATTTTATGTATATGAATGTTGTGCATATGTACATGTGTGTCTGTGTTTACCAGGTGTTACCTGGTATCCATGGAGACCAGAAGACATCATCAGATTTTCTGGGATTGGAGTTATAGTTGTGAGCCACATGTGGATACTGGGAACCAAAGTCTTGTCTTCTACAAGAAAAGCAAGTGTTTTTAATTGCTGATCTATCTCTCCAGACCCATGAGCAATCTATTCATTTTGTTCAGTTAAATTCTTTATACATCTTGGATTTATTCTGTAAGAAACAGGTAGCCAAAATACCTCCTCCATAGAACCAACTGTATTTCTTGATATTTCACTGTTATTTTCGCTACTTTAGGATATTATCTTTGACTTCACATAAGGAAATGAAAGCAGATTTGTGTTGTGATTTAAAAGGTAATAGTCACTCCGTGTTAACTTTGTGAGAATTCTTGGCTTATTTGGCCGGTTAAGTTCAGTCAGTGTGTGCAGGATGAATTTCTATTTTTAGCTGATAAACGTTATACTAGTAGCTTTTCTGTTGCTGTGATAAAAGTCATCATGATCAAGGTAACTTATTTGAATGTGAAGTTCCAAAGGAGTAAGAGTCCATCATCATAATGGTGGGGTGGGTGTGGGGTTGCAGGTGCTGAGTGGACTGGCAGCTGGTGCAGCCTGTGAGCTTACATCTTAAAAGGCAAGCAAGAAGCAAAGAGAACTAGAAATGGCTTTTGATACCTCAAAGCCTGACCCTAGCAGCAAGGCCACACTTTTTAAATTTATTTTTAGTTTATGTACATTGGTGTTTTGTTTACATATGTCTGTGTGAGTAGCGGGATCCCCTTGAACTGTAGTTACAGACAGCTGTGAGCTGCCATGGGGTGCTGGGGATTGAACCCCTGTCCTCTGGAAGAGCAGCCAGTGCTCTAACCGATGAGCCATCTCCAGTCCCAAAGGCACACTTCTTTTTGTTGTTTGTTTTTGCTTGCTTGGGTTTGTTTGTTCGGTTGGTTGGTTTTCAAGGCAGGGTTTCTCTGTGTAAAAATCCCTGGCTATCCTGGAACCCTGTAGACCACTGTAGACCAGGCTGACCTTGAACTCACGGAGATCTGCCTGCCTCTACCTCCCGAGTGCTGGGACTAAAGGCATGCAGCACCACCACCAGGCTGAGGCCATACTTCTTAACCCTGTCTCTATGGGGTGAAAGACTGGGGGCATGGGGACAAAGTCTTCAGTGCTTGACTGTGTGGAATGTCTCATTCAGATCACTGCAGTTGGTCCTTTCCCCTTCCCCCCTTTGATTTTTGGAGAAACGAGTTTCTCTGTGTAGCCCTGGTTGTCTTGGAACTTACTCTGTAGACCAACCTGGACGTAAACTCAGAGATCTACCTGCCTTTGTCTCCCAAGTGCTGAGGGTTACGGGCGTGCACTACCATGCTTAGCTTTAAAGTTTACTTTTTAAGTGAATTATTATTTAGTTATAAGCATTACATATACCTCAAAATACAACTTTGTTAGACTTTTTTTCTGTTAAATTTGTTAATGGCTTATTTCATCATTTTTTGTAAAACTTTGAAAACCACAGAATGCAAACAATTATCTAAATATTCAGAAACAACTCCTGTAGATATTATAATGGTCTTCCATATGTGGGCTGTGTTTGTGTCTATCTGTGGTCAAAGATTAGCTTTCAGGAATTGGTTCTCCTATCATGTGCACCCTGGAGATGGAACTCAGGTCATGAGGCTTAGTTGCAGTTGAGTTATTCACACCCCAAAACTACTTGTCTTTGGTTGGGTTTATTTTTGAGACATGGTCTTGGCTGTGTTGCTTTGGTTGACTTAACACATGCTATCTCACCCAAGCTGGTTTGAGCCTTCCAAGTGCAGAGATTACAGCGGGGCACTGCTATGTCATTACGGGGTGCTTGTTGTTTGGTTTTTGGTTTTCTCAGTGTAGCCCTGGCTGTCCTGCAACTGTAGACTAATCTGGCCTTGAACTCACAGAGATCCACCTGTCTGCCTCCACCTCCCTAGCGCTGGGACTATAGGCATGTGCCACTACCCCCTGGCAATATGATAACATTTATAAGAACAAAGTTATTTTTCTTACAGTTTTGAGGGGTTTAAAGGTTCTTTTTCTGTGTTTTCTTTTACTTTTAGAATTACTTTAAACCTAGAACCTGACACATGCTAGGCAAATGTTCTGTCACGAACAATTTCTCAGCCTTGTGCTTTTCTTGTTTTAGGGGTGGGCCATTGAAGAGTAAGATTCAACTAGTGCTTCCCTACGTAGAAGGAAAGCACTTCTGCATGTGGGCTGCACCCCTTACCCAAAACACAGTGTTCAGTAGAGATACTTTTGTGTAAGTAATCATTTTATGTTAACCTTTTCCAGGCCATGGATCATCTGCAGTCCTTCATTGCAGATTGTGATCGAAGGACAGAAGTGTCTAAGAAAAGATTAGCAGAGACTCAAGAAGAGATAAGTGCTGAGGTGGCAGCAAAGGTAACAATTAGTCATTTTATTAGTTCAAAGCATAGGGGTTTTGTTTGTTTTTGAGTTTGTTTTGTTTTTGTTGTTACTGCTTGAGATAGGGTCTGCCTTTATAGCTGTGGCTGTTCTGGAGCTCACTCTATAGACCAGACTATCTTCCAACTTACAGAGTCCTGCATGCTTCTACCTCTTCCTCCCAATTGCTGGGATTGTAAAGTATATTTTTAACGCATTTCATTCACTCCAATTTTTTTTTGGGGGGGGTGTTTTTGAGACATGGTCTCAACTGTGTAGCCCCTGGCTGGCTTGGAACTATATAGGCCAGCCTGGTCGTGAACTCACAGAAGTGCATTTGCCTCTGCCTCTTGAGTGTTAGGATTAATGAGCTACCATGCCAGACTCATTCCAGCGTTTTGATTTTTCAATAATTAGACTGTTAACCTAAGTAGAGAATTCTGTGGAATTGTGTACCCAAATGTTAACTAATACAACCATGTAACATTATATTTTATTTAGAACTTGCCAGTGGTGTATGCATCGGCTACATATAGTATGTATAGTTCTTTGTTTTTTTTTTTTTTTTTTTTTTTTTGTTTTTTTTTTTTTTTTTTTTTGAGATAGGGTTTCTCAGTGTATTCCCAGCTGTCCTGGAACTAGCTCAACCCTGTACACCAGGCAGGCCTTGACCTCAACAGAGAAAAACCCCTGCCTCTGTTTCCTGAGTGCAGGGATTTAAGGTGTGTGCCACCACCACCTGCCTTTTTTTTTTTTTTTTTTTTTAAATTAAGACTTATTTTTTATGTGCATGAGTATTTTGCTTCTGTGTATGTGTACACATGTGCATACTTGGTATCCATGCAGGCTAAGTGAGTGAATCAGAATCCCTGAAACTGGCGTTACGGTTGTGAACCACCTGATAGGGTTGCTGAGTACTGAAACTGGATCCTCTGTAAGTGTAGCAACTGCTCGTAACCACTGAACTATCTCTCCCGTCCCTGGCTTTCTTTTGATTTTGACAAACATAAGCTTGTGTAGCTGCCGCCACAGTTTAGGTGCTGAAATAGCAACATAAATCATTTTATCATTGGGGTCACCATAATAGGAGGTGATCTTAACTGTTACCTTTTCAGCCCTTCATGCTATTTTTCATTCATGATCTTCTTTTTTTTTTTTTTTTTTGTTTTTTGTTTTTGTTTTCCTAGGCAGAGCGTGTTCATGAGTTAAACGAAGAAATAGGTAAATTGTTGGCCAAAGTGGAACAACTAGGAGCTGAAGGAAACGTGGAAGAGTCTCAGAAAGTCATGGATGAAGTAGAAAAGGCACGGGCAAAGAAAAGAGAAGCAGAGGTAAAATTCCTGGCTTTCTTCTGTTTGGGGGCAAGGTCTTACTGTGAGACCAACAATCTTGGAAAGAGATAAGTTCTTAATAGTGGTAAGATGTTAGCGTCTGTACTTTTTGTAAAATAGACATTTAACTGGAAATTGTTCAAAATGTAATGAAAGGAAATTAACTCAATTTAGAAATAAGTAATAGATGTTACGATGTTGGGTTGTTTTAAAGTAGTTTTTGGAAAATTGGAGTCATAGCTATATTGAAACTTACACCTTCACAAATGTAATTTAACCAATTACCCACATAAAACAAACACAACCTATTTACACTGTGCCTGTCTACCCTTTTTTCTCAGCATTTTTACTTATCATAGCAGTACAAACTGCTATGACCTTGGACGCCTTCTCTCATTTTCAGTTTATGACACAATTCAAAAATCTAACAACATGTGAACAAAGTCTGTTTTGATTGGTATAGCCCTTGATGTGTAGAAACTCAAGTATATTTGGTAGAGATTATGATGTAGTCTTTTGCTGTGGTGTCTTTTTGCCTCAACTGACGACATCTGGATTGTTTTCATGATGATCTCTTGTCTTTTTAGCTCTGGGCAGTATTCCTTTTTTCTTTCTTTACACCGACAATTCCAGCAGTTTGAGAGCTGGAATTGTAAGAATGATCATAGCTTTGTAGCCAACCTGTTTCATGCAAGTAATCAAGGCAAAAAGCTCAATCACTGAGCTTATTATCCTACCCCCTTCCTTTTCTTTTTTTGAGACAGGGTTTTTCTGTGTAGCCCTGGTTGTTCTGTAACAACCAGGTCTCAAACTCAGAGATTTGCCTGCTTGTACCTCCCAAGCGCTGGGATTAAAGGTGTGTGCCACCACTGCCTGGTTTACCCCCATTAATTAAAAAGGCCCTTTTGAGAAAAATAGGGCCGTGGGGCTGCTCAGCTTAGCCTTGAGCTTGTGGTCCCCTTGTCCTGTGGCTTTGTAATTTCTGATGGTAGTAACAGTTTCCCACTGAAGTGTTTTCCTTTTTTGACTAGTACCTTATTTATATTATATTTTTGAAATTTCCCCTCTCCTTTAAGGGGGGGGGGCAGGCTTTTTTATATGTATGGGTGTTTTGCCTAGACGTATATATCTCTACTTTGTACTTACTTACCTTGTGCCCAGAGTCTGGAAGAAGGCAGACTTGGGCTTGGATTTATAATAATTGTAAGCTGTCATTTGTCCAATTCCTCTGGAAGAGTAAACACAGTGTGCTCTTAACCACTAAGCCATCTCTGCAGCCCCTTTATGTTTTTAAATTCATAGATTATAGTGTCCATTGATTTGAATGTGTGTGCATTCCATTGTCCACACTAGTGTGTTTATATAAATATATGCTCTCCCATGTGGGTCCACATTCATGCGTATACATGTGTGTGGAAAACAGAATATAGCCCTAGGAACTGTCTGTCTGCCTTTTTATTTTGAGACATAGTCTCTCAATGACCCAATTTGTCAATTAGGCAACTGTTAATTAGCCAGTCAGTCCCTGAGATCCATCCACTTGGCCTTAGTCTCCTGGTTGCTAAAATTACAACCACCCATCACCATGCCAGCCTTCTGAGGGGAGGACATGCCATGGCACTGGTGTGTCGATCAGCAGACAACTTGTAAGAGTTTTTTCTACCTTGGGTTTCCTTTTATAATGTGGGTCTTATGAATTGTACTTCTGTCATCAGGCTTGGCAAACAGTGTCTTTACCCACTAATCCATCTTTCCAGCTTTGGCTGTTTTGTTGTTGATTTTAACTTGGTTATGGGGATCAAGCTCAGAGCTTCAAGCTTGTAGGATAAGCACTTAGAATTGAGTTCTTCAGCCCCCCTTCTTTGATTTCTGTTTCAGGTCTTTTTTGAAGAACTTCTCTGTACATTCTATCCAGCTTTTTTTTTTTTTTTTAAATCAGTGTCATCCTAGCTAAAGCTACCTAGAGTGTTGGAAAAAATTTTTTTAACTGCCTTAAACAAAAAAACATAATTAGTACAGGAAAGAAGATAGTGTATTGGCAAGTTTACCAGTGTGTATTGTTCCTTGATGAAAATGTTTGGGAAGTCATCAAGAGTCCCGATGCGGATTGACCTTTCTTTCCTTAGTTGTCTTGAGGACTGGGAGAGTAAAGGATAGGTGAAGTTTTGGCCTTCACCAGACCACTCTCTCAAAGAATTTATTAAAAATATTCTATGCATATATAGTTTATTTTCTTACAGAATTTTTAAGGTCATTTGTGAGATCATTTTTTCCCTCACTTTAGGAAGTTTATCGCAATTCTATGCCGGCCTCCAGTTTCCAGCAGCAGAAACTTCGAGTCTGTGAAGTCTGCTCTGCATATCTAGGTCTTCACGATAATGACAGGCGGCTTGCTGACCATTTTGGGGTAAACTGCACCTGGGATTTATTGAAATAAGAGAAAAACTCGAAGAATTAAAGGTACCTTGTGTAAATTAGTATTTCTCACCTTATCCTCGTTAACCTGGTTCTGTTACTCGGTTAGCATTTTTCTCTGGTTTTATTGGCAAGGTCTCACTATGTAACTGCTACTGGCTGCTCTCTTGTCTCAGCTCCCCTATTACTAGTGTAAGTACAGTATGACAGTTAGCTTTTTGAATAGTGTGGTTCATTCCGATTCAGCAATATCAGACCGTTTAAAATGTGTGATAATGTTGAGAAACAGGAAAGGTCAGGAAACAGGATGTGATTTTTTTTTTTTAATGATTCTTTTATTTATTATGTAGTAGAAGTTCTGTTTGATTGTTTGCCTCCGTGCCAGAAGGCATCAGATCTTATTACAGATGTTTGTGAGCTACCATGTGGTTGTTGGGTGTTGAACTCAGAGCCTCTAGAAGAACAGTTAATGCTCTTAACCTCTGAGCTATTTCCCCAGCCTGTATTTTTTGGTTTTTGTTTTTTAATGTCATTAAGGAATGATGGGGGCAGGGCTGAAGCTACATGCTTGCCTGTCATGCTTGGAAAAAATAAATCATAGTGAAACAAGAAGTTTACATGTTTTTCACAATTCGGGAAAGCCAACTTGAAATCTAATAATTGTACCTGACAAAAATTTAAATTATATTATTTTTACTATATGGGAAATCAAATACAGTTTAAGGTAAAGATAATTAAGGATTTGCCAAGTAAGTTTTCAACTGGTTTTTTAAATTATTTCATTTTAAAGAGAGTTGTGGCTGAGAAGCAGGAGAAAAGAAACCAGGAGCGTCTGAAACGAAGAGAGGAGAGGGAGAGAGAAGAGCGGGAGAAACTGAGGAGGTACGTACAGGGGCGGCGCCCGCGCTCGAGCTCAGCCTTCAGCCCAGGGAGACATGTCTTCAAGATGCTATTAAACTGGTTCTGGGCATAGAGATTTTGAAATGTTTTCATTTCAAAAATGTTTCCATGCAAGCTGGGCATGTTGGCACTCAATCCCAGAGACCCACAAGGTGGAAGATAAAAAACCAGTTCCCAAAAGTTGTTCTCTGATCTCTAAGAGCATATCATGCATATATAATGTAATACTGTGTGTGTGAGAGAGAGAGAGTGTGTGATTAAAAATACTAATTAGATATTAAGTTGCATGAAGATAGAATGAGACAGTCAGAGTTTCAGAGAAAGCTAATCAAAAGAGTTGTAGGGCTGGACTGTGTTGATGCATGCCTTTAATCCAAGCATTCAGGAAACAGGCAGGCAAATCTCTATGAATTTGAGGCCACCCTGGCCCACACAGTGTGTTTTAGGACAGCCAGGGCTACAGAGCTATAAAGAAAGACCCTGTCTTGGACCCTACCTTCCATCCCTCCCCTCCCCCCCCCCAAAAAAAAAGCAAGATCATTTTGATGGTAATAATGCAGATTCAATAGCTTTAAATCAGAAAAGTTTCAAAAATTGCAGTTTCTGAATAGGGGAGTCTATGAGTAAATAATCCTTATCAATATTTCTAAAATCTAAAATGATTTAGAAGTCATAGTTTTTGAGTATTGTGTCTAGATTTCACATTTTCATGTTACGGGTGTTCAGCCTTTAACAGCTTGTAGGCAGTCTACTGAACTGATGTGACTTCTGTATAAAGATTGTGTGAAAGTGGGTAATGGCTGTCTCACGACTTTATGTTGAATGAATTACAATAAAACCTCTTGCTACCCATTGGTATTTTCATTGGGTATTTCATTGTAGCTTAGCACAGAACTGTGTGTAACCTTTTCTCTCTTTGGTGGTCTTGGGCCTTGAGCTCAGGCTTGGTGAATGCTAGGCAAGCACTCTAATATGTCACCTTTTATACTTTTTGAGGAATTATTTGGGAGTTTTTGTTTTTATATTACGCTATTATTATTTCCTCAATTGTAGTCCTGGCTGGCCTGCCATTTGCTTTGTAGACCCAGACTGACCTCTTCCTCCCCTGTTCCCCCACACCCAGTTTTGCCATAAATTACAAAAATTCATTCACTTGACAAAGCAAATCTGCTTATATTAACTTATTAATTGGTAAATTTAGTATTCTTATATTTAGAGTGATTAAACATCCTTATAAATCATTGTTGCCCATTGGCAACATGTTTAAGCACTTTCAATGGACAGTCAGTCATGCCACAAAGAAATTTATCTCTTTTGATTCATAGTGTTTCCCTGACTGCATTTTTTTTTTTTTTTTCCGACTTAATTCACTTTATTTTTCTTGTATAAAACCCTTCTGTGGTGGCAACAGCTGGAGCCTGGGTCCTCTGAACAGAGACTCTGGTTTGGGCTTTCACAAGATGGTCAGTGAATTCCTGATAAGGAGACTTGGTGAACACAGTCTCTTTCCAGAGGTCAGGGGTCAGGTAGCTGTAGGTCTTAGAGATGGCATCAAAGGTGGCCTTGACAAAGTTGCCCAGGGTGGCAGTGCAGCCCCTGGCTGATGTGTAGCAGTCATCAATACCGGCCATCATCAGTAGCTTCTTGGGCACAGGAGCAGAGACGATGCCAGTGCCTCTGGGGGCAGGGATGAGATGCACCAACACAGAGCCACAGTGGCTTGTCACTTTGCATGGAACAGTGTGGGGCTTGCCAATCCCCCAGGAGCTTCTCCTCACAGGGACAGTGGAAAGCTTGGCCAAGATGATGGCCCCTCCGATAGCTGTGGCTACCTCCTTGGAGCATTTAACACCAAGACCAACATGACCGTTGTAGTCCCCAATAGCGACAAAAGCCTTGAACCTGGTGTGCTGGCCAGCCCTTGTCTGTTTCTGTACTGGCATGATCCTTAGAACCTCATCCTTAAGAGATGCCCCCAAGAAAAGTCAATAATCTTGGATTCCTTAATGGGCAGAGAGAAAAGGTAGATCTCCTCCAGGGACTTGATCTTCATGTCCTTAACCAGGCGGCCCAGCTTGGTGACAGGGACCCACTCCTTGTCTTCGGCTTCACTTCCATGAGCCCCACGGCCTCGACCACGACCGCGGCCCCTGAGACCGCTGCCGAAGCCTCCGCGGCCTCCTAATCCTGGGCCCCGGGGTCCCCGGGTCCTCTGGGCCCGCCCGCTGCACCGGCGTCATCTGCTATTTGGTGTTTTCCCGAAGTAGAGGAAGCCCCTGACTGCATTCTTACAGTCTGTCATCAACCCTCTATGTTATCACAGTCATCAAATATATCTTTGGGATTTAAAAACCTTCTTTAGAGATAATGTAAGTCTCTAAGATAATTATTGGTCGTGCTAACTCAAAAGCTCTGAGCATATTATTCTTAGTTTAGGTGAACTTTATTTGGTGTTACATAGCTCTGTGTGTGTGTGTGCGCGCATGCGTGTGCATACATGTACGTGCTGTAAGATGCAAGGGTGTGAGAGAATGCACTTGTTCACACATGGCAGGCACATGTGTCTCACGCTGCTCAAGTGGAGGCCAGGACCCTGACCATGGGACTGAACTGAGGCCACCAGGCTTTCATGGCAAGGCCTTTTCACTGGCGGCAGTCTTTTTCATTTTAAGGACAAACAGTGCAGTCATCTGTTTTGAGAGATCTGCTTTCTTTCTCTTGGCCCCAATTCTCTTAACCTGTTTTTTTTCATTGAATAAATTTTATTTCAGGACTTACCTTCTTTGTAGTGTATGCTGAGAGTGTGTGTCCCCTCCCACCCCAGTTTTTTCTTTTTGTGTGTGTGTTGGGGGTGGTGTCAGTATCTTTGTGTAAGTCAAAGGACGTTTTCTGGAATTGGTTCTTGTCTTTCACCTTATTAGGCAAGGTCTCTTGTTGCATCATCACCATCATTGTCGTCGCCGTCGCTGTTGTCATCATCAGGTCTCTGTGTATGCATAGCTAGCTGTCCTGAGCAGACTGGCCTTGAGCTCACAGAGATCCACTTCTTCTTTTTTTTTTTAATCTGCATGCATGAATGCCTGATTGAACACCAGAAGAGGGCACCAGATTTCATTATAGATGGTTGTGAGCTACCATGTGGTTGCTGGGAATTAAACTCAGGTCCTCTGGAAAAGCAGCCAGTGCTCTTAACCTCTAAGCCATCTCTCCAGCCAGCACCGACCTTGTACCCCCAACTCTTAGAATCATGTGTATCACCGTATGTAGCTTACTAGGCCAACTGCCTGAGTGCAGAGATTTCATGTAACTATGCTCAGTCCTAGGGTGTGTTTTAACAGAGATATTACTCAGTATTGCATTATTTAAAATAGTGTAGATAAGCCTTTTACATAGTGTTGGAATTCTCAATTTAAGATTTAAGTGAGATAGTCAAATGACCTCTCTTTTTATTTTTATTTGTGTTTTGAGGCAGGCAGGGTTTCTCTGTGTAGCCCTGGCTGTCCTGCACCTGCTCTGTAGAACAGGCTGGCTTCTAACTCCACAGAGATCCACCTGCTTCTGCCTCCTAAGTGCTGGGATTACAGGCATGGGACACCACCGCCTACTACCTCACATTTTTTTAAATAGGACTATAATATTTGACATGGTGAGAAAGTCGATTACCTCTTACTCCTTTTGATTGCAAGTGTAACTCTTTCGGAGAAATTAGGTGGGCATGGTGATGCATTCCTATAATCCCAGCACATAGGATTCTGAAGCTAGAGGACCTGTAGCCTTGAGGCTAGCGTAGGCTAGTGTAGAGTTTGGAGCCAACCTACATAGTGAATCTTCATCCCCCAAAAACAATGCCAGGTTCATATTTATTATAACCTTAGCACTCAGTAGAATGAATACCTAGTTCAAAACCAACCTGGCCTGCTGTGTAAGACTGCCTCAAAAGTTGAAACAGTTTCTTCTTTTAAGTGCTATGAAATTGAGGAAGTACTATAAATATGTTCATAAGATAAGTTCATAAAATGGTATCAAATTATACAAGGTAGTTTTTAATTGCTCCTGATATAATCAACTAAGTTATTTCTATGTCAAGCTCTGTGTTAAGAAATTTGCCTTAGTTTATGTTTTTCTGGTGTTAGAAAATACTTGAGGGGGGAAAAATACTTGAGAAAGCAGTTTAAAAGAAGAAAGGTTTATTTTGACTCATGGAGTCGCAAGTTTCAGCACCTGGCTTCCTGGTTCCATTACTGTGGGCCTGTGGTTGAGGCAGAACAACATCATGGTGACTGAAAGATGCAAAGGGTCATGGTAGAGAAAGGCTGCTTTCTGCAAGGTTGGCAAGCGTGGTAAGTTGACAGGATACGTCTAGTCATAAGATGCTTCCTTCAAAGAACCTACTTCTTTGAAGTAGGTCTCGCTGTCTGATTTCTATAACCAGCAACAGTACCATCAAGTTAAGGATCTGGTTTTAGGGCTGGAGAAATGAATGGCTAAGGGTGCTTGCTGCTCTTTCAGGAAACTGAGTTCAGTACCCAGTAGCTACATTGAGCGGTTCACAATTGCTTGTAACACCCAACTCCATGGGATCCAACACCAGGGTTCCACAGGTATCCACATGCATGGAGTATACATGCACACATTTTTTTTTTTTTTAAAGTAGATTAATTTATCCATTGGTTGGGCAAGAGCCCTTATGATCCAATTAGCTCTGGATGATTAGATATACCAGTTGTTGTGACATTTCATACCTAATGACATTTATATTGCTATTCCTGTCTTAAAATTGATAGATTAAACTAAAGGAGGATATATACCGTTCCTCTGGTTGCACAGATAAATAGATAAAACCATAATTAATGCAGCCCAAAGCATACTGTAAAACATGCTTGCCATTATATACGTATATGTTTTTGCATATATGTATTTGTGTGAGTATATACATAAATGTTGTACTAATCATGGAATTGTTTGTTTAGAGTCCTGGGAAATGT